CTCATTGTGCTTCGTTCCACGTATTGCTAAAAGTCATAGGCTAACTTCCTTAGTTGTATGGCTGTCAATCCAAAACCTCTTTTGTCGATCAAGGTAATATAATTTACTAGTGCCTGGCTCTGGTTTAAATTAAACGTAGTAGAATATCTCCCTCCATGCATCGGTAGTTGCAGATGTTTCATTTTTCACATACCTGCGCAGAGTCGGTTCTGGGATGTCGTATAGAGAAGCCACACCATTGCAAGATTTTCCATCTAATACTTCATGCACAGCCGCAATCATAGCATTTTCATCCCACGCACGTCTGTTTGTCTTTCTTTGGTATATTCGAGGCATCTAAAAAGAGCACAACATTTTACGAAATACTTATTTCTCCATTCGGAGCTGTAATAAATTAAATAATGGGGTAAAATGACGATCAGTAGGGTAAGATGACGAACTCGTCAACTTACCCGGGCCATCTTGCCCCTAGAGGTTATGTTTAATGTTCCATGAGAAAATATTTAATAAATAGCTTTGTTTATGCAAACTTTTTTAGCATAACATGCATATATACCTAGTTTTTATATGTAATATTTTATTTCAGTCTTACCTTAATTTGGAACACTGTAAACCTTAAAAACACTGTACGAAAATGTTTACCGACACACGTGAAATCCACAAATCAGTTCTAACAGAAAAGCACGCCGTCCAAGCCTTTCCAAACTATTTGAGTTACTTCAGGGTACACTAACGAGATGGCGCTTCCTATGCGAATGGAAATATATTACGTTATAATGATTTTATCGACATTCGTCATTTTACCCGCTTCGTCAACTTACCCCACTTTCCCCTACAATATATAAAACTAATTTTTCTACAACTGGACATGTGTAAAAATGTAAAAAATAATTTTCTTTTTTTTTTTTTTTGTAAAAGAAAATAAAAATCTGCGTTTTTAATGACGGTACATTTGAACTACTCAAAACCCCGGTTCATTTGAACTACTCAACACATTGGATGCGCCAGAACTACTATATACATTAGAACTGCTAAAAGCAACGTTCGGTACATTTGAACTACTGAGCAACTGTTTAGTAGTTTTCGAATTATGACGAAAAATGGAAATCGTCCGTTTTTTTCTCGTTATTTAAGAGTCTCATTGATTTCACCGCTACGCACACGCCTCTTACAAACAATCCCCTATTTCCTAGAGTCCCACGGGACTCCTCATCGGATGCGGCCAGCCTTTAAGTAACGACCCGGCTCGCGGTGCGGGGGCCTACTCTCCCCAGGATGCCCCCTGGGAACCCTTCGAAGCAAGCGTGGCGTCGCTAATCGCGGCACCGTATCTACTTACTCTTAGGGCTGCGCGCGTGGTAATTGAATAGATGGATGCAGAAAGAGGGGGGTCGCCCGTTGGGGAATAAGAGGTCCCGTAGTGCCGAACGGATTGAGAGATCTGATGTCTGTTTGTGTGTTTGAACGCGAAATTGGCTTATTATTGTTGTATCTGTCCGATGCGGGTGCGTTCATGTTTGTTTCGGTTAAATATAATTAACGAGGGGTGTCTCACTCGAGTAAAAAATGTACACGTACTGCCAAAATATCCTTCCACTGCTAAGCGACTGCCAGTGACTATGAAGAAGACTGCCTATGACTGCCATGTAATTATTATAGGCGACTGCCATAAGACTGCCAATGACTGCCAGCGACTGCCAAGAAAATGTACATGTAATTCCAATAGTGAGACACCCCTCGATAATTAATTTCGGCGGTTTTGGAGTGGTTTGCAGGACATACAGTATGTCCCCGGATTGTCTTTACAAGAGGACTTTTTTATTATTGACATTTTTTCAAAAAAATGCATTCTCCATAAAAATTTTTGCTTGTTGTAAAATGGTTAATCCCGTTTATACTTTTCCAAATTTCTAATACCTATAATATACTAATAATTAACGTCATATTTTTTGTTGTTTTAAAATGTTAAAGAAGCACAAAATTTATTTAGTTCAATACTACGGAACGGGTGATGATAATTATCGGAAAATCTGATATTTTAACAACAGCAAAGAATATGACTTTAATAAAAATTATTAATACCATCTATCAAAGAAACAAATGGACTGACATTACTATAGAAACGCCTTTTGGATTTATAGGACTTGCATTTCAAATATGAAAAAATTCAACAATATTTTCATATTTTCCTTGGTTTTCTCGAAAACGGTATGGAATTTTGGAAAAGTATAAACGGGATAAACAATTTTAGAACAAGCAAATTTTTTATGGAAAATGCATTTTTCTCAAAATGTCAATAATAAAAAAGTTTTTTCTGTTGTAAAGACAATCCGGGGATATACTGTAGACAAAGAATCCTACCAAAACGATTCTGCACAATATGATAAAATTGAACTATTAAAAGAAACAAATAATAGTTTAAAAATTATTATTTAATTTTTTTTAATAAAAAAGGTAAGAAGACAAACAGGAAAAGGATAGGAAAAAAAGTACAGGAAAAGAAAAATAAAAAAAAGGACAGGGAAAATGAAAGACAAGAACAGAGAAAGAGAAAAGAATAGAAAAATGCAAAGAGGAAAAAAAAGGAAAAACGGAAGAAAAAACTACAGCAACATGAAAATGCGAAAATGCACAGGAATGATAAAAGAAAAGACAACGGGAAAAGGCTAAAGGTAAAGGATAGTAAAAAGGCAATAAAAAAAGAATATGCTTTTTACTTTTTTTTCTTTCGGAAAAAAGGACAAGACAAAGGAAAAGAAGAAAGAAAGTACCGGAATAAGAAAATGAAAGGAAAAACGGAAAAGGAGGAAAGACAGAAAAAAAAGGAACTTTAATAGGAAAAAGGCAAGAAAAAGTAAAAAAGCATGGAAAAAAGGCCAGGAAAAAGGAAAGAAGAAAAACAAAAAAGGACCTGGAAATGGAAAAAAGAGCGAGACTATTTTTATATTAAAAAGGAAAATAAAAGGGATACGAAAGGAGAAAATTATAGCAAAAATAGAAGAAAAAAGATAGTAATAGAAACGGAAAAAGACAGGAAAAAGAATCGGAAAAATGAAGGGCAAAATATCAGGAAAAATAAAAATAAAACAGACAGGAAAAAGGTAATGAAAAAGAAAAAAATGGAAGGAAATCGAAAGAAAAAATAGCAGGCAAAGACGGGACCAAGGAAAGAAAAATACAGAAAAAAGGGGAGGAAAAATAGAAAAAAATATATAAATGAGGAAAGAAAAAAAAGGAAAAGGATAAGAATAAAGAAAAAAAAAGAAAAAAGAAAGAGAAAAGGCAGAAAAAATAATAAATATGAAGAAAAATAATGAAAAATAAAAAAGACGGGATAAAAATGACGGAAAATGGAAAATGATAGAAAGAATACGAAAACACGCAAAATACGTGTTTTCTTAACCGACACTCACCTGGAACTTGCCCAAATCCACCTCGGCCACCCTCCTCAACAACCGGAACGTCTCCAACGCCAAACTGACGCCCGCACCCGGCAAGGGCGGCGGCGCCAGTCCTTCCCCCCTCGCCGCCGTGGCCTCGGGCGGCAACAGCGACCCGTACAGCATCGACACGCAACCCAGGAGCTCGGTACCGTGGAGGGTGGCCACGAGGTGCGTGGGGTCACCTCCCGCGGTGCCCTCCTCCGGACAGCGGGCGGCAAGGGCGGCGGGGAACCGGAGGGCGGCCAGGAGGAAGGCGCAGGCGGGCGGCTGGTCGTGGACGGGCTGGCGGATGGAGAGGCAGCAGCGGGCCAGGTGATCGACGAGACCGGAACACACGGAGAAGCTGGAAGAGAGAGGAAAGAATTAGTGGTTACTATAAGATTTCATATTAAATACAGTATGGTCATAGTATAAGGAAACTAGTAGCTTTACTCCTTGTCAAATCTTTTGTTCTTTTTCTGCCACTTTATATGACCTTGTTCTCGCCTACCGTGACCACTGACGTAGCTGTATAGTCGTGGTCTATTAACGGCAAAGTATAGTCGTGGCACTCGCCATAGTTTCACAGATATGTATTTAGGAAAATATGAGTTCACAATAAAATAAAATAAAAAAAAAATTGATCATCGAGTAAAATCTTGCTTGAAAACAGAATATTTTCACATTTCGTGTAGGTAACAATTCTTCTGTATCTGAAAATCTTCTGATGGGAAGAAATGCAGAAAAAATATATAATGACATATTTTTATATTATTATCCATTTCAGAGATTTTCTACAACTATTTTTTTATTTAAAACAAGTTTAATTTTATTTAATTTTTTGTAGAAAAAATATACAGAATGTTGCATTTAAAAAAATTGAGATATACCATTTTAAATATTCCGATTTTGGTGACGCCATAAAAAATACCCTATATAGAATAATGTATATAGAATGATGTATAATAAAAAAATAAAACTAACTTTACCATAACTTTTTTTGTGACACCCTGTATATAACAAAATATTTTCGGATACGTTCTTTTATAAACCTTGAAACATATCAATAAAACTTTTTTCACATCTTCGACAACGACGAAGATATTGGACAAGGATATTCCTCGCACTAATGGGGCCCTGTATATATACGGTGGTTTAAAGCTAGGTGTGGGACTTTTCTTCCCTCAAATATAAACTCAATATTTTGTCTATAATATTTTGAATATTGTTATATTACGACCCCTTATAATAAAAAATAAATAAAAAACAGCAGCTCGACGGACGGAATTCAGCTGAAACGGTTTGCAATCTGCCGATATTCGACAGATTGCAAAAACTGGCAGAAAATATTTGCGAGAGTGCAACTACTCTTTTCCTTAAATATGAATAATTTGCGGAGACTTTAGAGGTACAAAATATTTACTCTAAAATTGTTTCAAAAACCAATCTATATAAATTATCTCGTAAATTATTATTGGAATGCAAATTTTATGGCAAATCCCCTGACCAAAAAATATTTTCATGTGCATATTTGAGACAACCTGTATATCTAAAAAAATATTTTTAAAATCTGCCCTCATGCTAAAAAAATAATAACCTTTAATTAATATTATAATAATTAATATCTCAGCTTCTAAAATAAACAAATATAATTAAATGTTTATTGATAATTACTCAGCTGATCAGCTTGCTGATTTACATCCGATGGAAATATAAAAAAAAATAGAACATATAGAACTCATAGAACAATTCTTTGAATTATTACTACAATTAATAGCAGCACACAGTAAGGCACTCAATCCGTCTCTGTGCTGGGACGCAACGCTCGAACCTCGCAGCTCGACGGACGGAATTCAACTGAAACGCTTTGCAATCTGCCGATATTCGACAGATTGCAAAAACTGGCAGAAAATATTTGGGAGAGTGCAACTACTCTTTTCCTTCTACTATGGTATGGTTCACGGCCATGGTACGTTAGACTTTTATGGAAAACCGGTATAAGAACCGATAGAATTTCTTTGAAAATTTGGATTTTTGCATAACGGCACTTGCTCCATCTGTCTACATTATTTTCAGTACTACAGTGTTGCCGCTACTCGTAGCGACTTTTACTAAGAGATATTTTTTACGTAAAAAGTCACGGAAATGTATATTTTTTTACTCACTACTTATATACAGGTACGACGAAAAGTTATTACTGTTTAAAACAGTTAAGAAACATGTACAAATGAGAGTCATATTGACATCAAAATCAAATTTCTCATGTCAAAAAACTCCCAGACTACAATTTTCATGCAAATATTGACGTTACTTCAGAAATTATTTAGAAAAAATCGAAATTAAAATGAAACTTCTACACCCTGTATCTTCGAAACGCCGCATTTTAGGACATACATTTATACGAACT